GCAGGAGGGTGTGTGTGACTGTTAAAGCCCCTCCTCACATGAAGACTCCTGGGATGTATGACATCATTTTGGCCTAGGCAAAAAACTAGGAAGCAACTGAAAAAAATATAAAAAAAAAGTATAAAACAAGTAAATATAATATACCTTCCTATCTATTTACTAATCCTAGAAGCATAGGGATTCAAAATAGTTCATGTTGATTAAGAGAGTGAAGTTCCGTGTTCCTGCAGACTCTTCCTCCAGATCCCTGTCCATATCGAGGTACGGGCTTGCAGTTGGAGGAAGTGGGAATAGACTATGAGTGTGGCGATCATCACACTTGTATTCCATTGAGAACTACAAGTCTGTTTGCTGCGGGGATAAATGGAACTTCAGTTAATTCATTCACAGATCTCCACACAGCTGCACAAAATTCAAGAGAGACAGCGGCTTCAGGGAGGAACCTTTGGAAACTATGCTCAAAAAAAAAGACAAGCAGAGGACTAAAGACCAGCCACCAGTATTCCCTGAAGTTGTTTATTCATTCCCCATGACGGACTTACCATGCCTTGTTCTGTACTGTGCTTCTGTGCACAGGCAGACATCTTGGTAGAGGTAGGGCTTTGCTTCCTCATGTCAGAGCCTCCAGCAAAGAGAACAGTGAGCAGCACAGTATTGACATCTCCAATATCACTCCTAATCTGTTGAGACTAGCAGTCAGAGGCAGGAGTGTCTTAGATGATCGCACACTGCAGATGAGGCTCTGAACACAGGGGTGCCTGGGCACCCTCACGTACCATGAAGTGCATTGCTGCTGATTTGTCAGGGTACTGTTTAGACATGATTCATACTTCTAGATGTTCCGTATAACGTGGCAAATCTTGGCTTGCGTTTAGGTCCACTTTAAAGGGAAACTGTAATTTGTTTGAATCAGTTTTATTCATTTACCTATTTTTAGTAGTTTAAATGTTTTAAAACCTATTGTATGTACCTATTGTATTGTACCACAGAGCCTTTGTTTTATAAATCAGCTTTTGATACTTCTCAGAGCACTGTGGGTTATCTAAAGAGAGAATACGGCTGGCATTTGCTATAGGCTCTTAAACCAGAACTTCACTATCTAGGTCAATATGGAATATTTTTAATCCTTATGCGGCTAGCATTGGTAAATAGATAGGAAATTATATTATTATCTTCTTGTTTTCGACTATTTTGTTATGTTTCTTCAGTCACTTCTGGTTTCCAGGCCTAGGACAAATGATGTCATACATCTCAGGCATCTTCAGTAGGGGTTTTCTCAGTGAAGCACGCCCTCCTGCTTGTATCCCTGAGTTAAGGGCAGATGGATTCCAGGAAGTAAATGCTTCATGAATCATCTGCCCTTACTCAAGATGGCCATGGCCAGAAACGCAAGGGTGGTGTTTTTCAAAGTGGTTTCTCAGCAAAATAAATCATGGAGACATGGATGGGGGAGTTTGCTTTGGATATTAAGGATGAATTAAATAGTGTTTTTGCTTTTTGGTGTTCAGATGCAGTGCAGTTCCATTTTAGGAGAAGAAGGGTCATTCATCCTCCTGTGTTGTCACCAGGGGTGTATTTCATTTTTGTGCTGCCCTAGGCACAATCTAAAAAAGGAGAAAGAGAGATGTTCCTCCAGCACTCACCTCCGGAATGAAAGCAGTCGCCCATCCCCAGAGACATGGTCTGGAAATCACAGTGTCATCCTTGTGTTGGGAACGAGACTCGGCCTCTACCTATATCCTCCAGCAGCCCGCAGCCTCTTGGATCCCATGGCAGAGCTCAGGCAGTGCCTCACCTGGTCCCCATTCTCTGTCACCTGCCATGTGTGTTACTTCTTCCAGGGGGTGATGACGGCCCCCCTGAAAAATGCCGCCCAAAGCAAATGCCTTGTTTGTGTCAAGGTCCTACCTTTTCCCAGAGATTGTGCGGCTTCATGTGCTGGCGTCCATCTTCGGTTTCTGCAGAGCATGGTGGGAGTCTTTTATGCCTTCAGGCCTCTGAGGTCCATCCCCCAGAGGGGTGTGGCTGATTACATATAAGCCTGTGATCCGCACATGCTCTTTGCACTTGTGTCTTTGTGTTGCTACAGCTCTGTTCATACTCTCGTGACTCTCCTGGAATCTGACTCGGCTTGTGATTAGACCATTCTCTGTGTTTTCCTTTGATCTGACTTTCCGTTGCTGAACCCGGCCTGTGACCTGTGATTCTTGTCCACTGTTCTGTACCGTTTTGTCCCGTTGTTGTCGACCCGGCCTGCCCGACTACGCTATTGTCTTTACCACTAGCTACACACCATTGGCGGCGGCCATTACCGCAGCTGGGGTGTCTCGGGGGCCGCAACCTGGTTCCTGGCTGCGTCAAGTCCATCTCCACCATCAGGGGCCCTGGTGAAGGGCAGCCTGGGACTTAGACTCCGCGCCCTGAGGGACTTCGGTCTGTGAGTGGTGGTTGTCGTCAGTCAGTGCGTTACCCTGCCACTAGGCCTGCCTGTCCGTTCCACAGCCCCTGCCCTGACATTTTGCCTCACGGTTAATGCACCCCTAGTTGTCACCCTGTTACTTGGGCTTCCAATAGGAACAAGTGACCATTTCAACACACATTATGCAGCCATGGTCACCATCAGGAAACCCATTGCTGCATGTAGACGGGAAGTGGCTGCAAAGAGACTGCCGGCAATCAATGTCGCTGAAATGCAACAATGGATGAAAAAAGAAAAAAGCAAGATTTTATTAGAAAAAATGTAAATAAAATAAGATGCACAGAGTAAATTAAACATTCATTTAACAAATCAAATATAAAAGGATGCAACGTGTTTGTACAAAGGGATTTTAAACTGTAATTTATTGGGCAAGCCAGTATTGAAGTGGTCGCAGGGTGTACTGTATATTATATTTTATTGGACCAAGGATGCAATGAAATCCCTTCGTTTCAGAATGTTGCCGGGATCATCTACCATCTGTTCATGATAAAGTATTTAGTTGCTAAGATTATATTTGTCAATGGGGATCATAAAAGGCAGAAAAGACAGTTAAGCGCATAGTTAGTGCATTTATTATGGTAGGGATCTGCTGTGCTTTTCTGAGACAGAATAGAACTACAGGGTTGTAAGGGGGTGTATGTTATGTCTTAGGATGTAGACTTTGTGATGGGATCTCTAAGGCTCCCCTTTACATGGATCTGTATTTGTGTGCAAATCATCCAGAAGCCAGTCACCCGGTGTCTGAACTCTCAAGAGTACGCTATTTTAGAAAATAAGAGGTTGGCAAGCTGCAGGATAGAGTAGGGACTGGCTAGAGAGGGATCACTGACTCAATTGGCCAGCTTGAGCATGGATTGCATGTAAAGTGTGTTAAACAATCCCCACTTTTATAAGCAAGAGTTTGCTATGAACATGTAAGGGTTAATAAGTAGTAACGCTTCTTTAGTATCTCATGTGTTGTATGTATGGAAGCTATTAAGGACCTGAACACTAGTATTTCTACTGCATAGTGCAGGTCAGTAATTAAAAAGGGCAGGGATCTGTGAAGTTGCTATATTTTTTTTATGAAGCTAGAAGTCACCTTCACTGTGCTATAACCCCTTTTATTATATATTAACCCTGAGATGGTCAGATACTGCAGACATGATACTAGAGATGGTCAGAGACTGCATACATAGTACAGGAGATGGTCAGAGACAACAGACGTGATACAAGAAATGGTCAGAGACTGCATACATACTACAGGAGATGGTCAGAGACTGCAGAAATACTACAAGAGATGGTCAGAGACTGAAGACATGATACTAGAAATGGCCGTAGACTACATACATGATACAAGAAATAGTCATAGACTACAGACTTGATACAATAAGTGGTCAGGGACTGTGGACATGATACAGGAGATGGTCAGAGACTGCAGACATAGTACAGGAGATGGTCAGAGACTGCAGACATAGTACAGGAGATGGTCAGAGACTGCAGACATAGTACAGGAGATGGTCAGAGACTGCAGACATAGTACAGGAGATGGTCAGAGACTGCAGACATAGTACAGGAGATGGTCAGAGACTGCAGACATAGTACAGGAGATGGTCAGAGACTGCAGACATACTACAAGAGATGGTCATAGACTACAGACATGATACAAGAGGTGGTCAGGGACTGTGGATACTAGAAATGGCCGTAGACTACATACATGATACAAGAAATAGTCATAGACTACAGACTTGGTCAGGGACTGTGGACATGATACAGGAGATGGTCAGAGACTGCAGACATAGTACAGGATATGGTCAGAGACTGCAGACATAGTACAAGACATGGTCAGAGACTGAAGACATGATACTAGAGATAGTCAGACTACAGACATGATACAAGAGGTGGTCAAAGACGGAAGACATACTACAAGAGATGGTCATAGACTACAAATGTGATACAAGAGGTGTTCAGGGACTGTGGACATGATACAGGAAATGGTCAGAGACTGTGGACATGACACTAGAGATGGCTGTAGACTGCAGACATGATACAAGAGGTGTTCAGAGACTGTGGACATGATACAAAAGATGGTCAGAGACTGTGGACATAGTACAGGAGATGGTCAGAGACTGTGGACATAGTACAGGAGATGGTCAGAGATTGTGGACATGGTACAAGAGATGGTCAGAGACTGTGGACATGTCAGCAAGGCCTTAGAACCCCCTGTTGGGATTTTTGTATTCTGTCTCCATCAAAACAGGGACTGGATTTTGTTATGTCTTTCTGTCCAAGTTACTAATACAGAGGGCAAATATCGAAATGGGGATGCAGACAGCAAGTATAACCTGAGAGGGGTTTACAACCTTCCCTTAGGTTATCCAAAACTACCAAAACAAGTTTTGGCTGGAGATATATTTTTAACTGAGAAACTGCAAACGCGCAGCAAGTAGGCATTAGGTGAAAGATGTAGAAAACTGAGCTTTTGGATGAAAGTTATGGCTGTACCGTACTAATAAAAACAATAAACTGCTTTGCCTTGCAGGTGACGGAACTGAACAATGTCAAAAATATCCTCCGACTCCCTAAAACCACCAAGAAACATGCAGTGGGCATTTTCTTCACCGATGACACCTCAAAAACATTTGCCTGTGAATCGGGTGAGTGAGCGCGACAGGGGGCCGCATCTGATAAGCACTCTGTTGAGTCACTGACGTCAGGCTGCCATCTTCAACGTGGAGAGTTCTTTAACATGCAAAATACAGTGCGCCTTTCAGCGTTCACTGCGCCTCACAGGCTGTGGTCTGATTGAATCAGGGTCTATTAAAAAGAGTTTGATATGGAACATGAAAGGGAATGTCTTTTCCTCTTCATATTAATATCTTTTATAATAAGGGGAATACAGCGTGATAAATGGAGCTGCTGGCTGTTGAGATAATTTACTGTGGAGGATAAAATAATATACTACACGCGGATTTCTTAGAAGTGGCGATTGTTAACCCTTTACAGAGCCGGAAATTGCTGGAAGGCTGGCTAGATTTCGCAATTCTCTGCCAATGGATGTGACAGAATACAGTGCAACTGAATTTAAATTTTACACTATGGGGTTTATTTACTAAAACCGGAGCGTGCAAAATCTGCCGAAGGTGTACATGGTAGTCAATCAGCTTCCAACTTCAGCTTGTTCAATTACGCTTTAACATGAAAAAAAAAAACCTGGAAGCTGATTGGTTTTTATGCAGAGCTGCACCAGATTTTGCACTCTTCAGTTTTAGTAAATCAACGTCTATATGTAAGTCATACATCTGTGTACACTGGACTATCACACCTATATAAGCTTGTTGGACATCCGATTCCAAAACCATGGGCTTTTATGTCAAGCTTGCGTAGAGCTACTCTTTTGAGGGCTGCTGACTTTTTGGGTCCCCCCTGAGTTCTGCAACCAGGTAACACGCATTTTTCACACTTTCACTGTCAGTAAAACGTCCAAGAGCTTGGTTTTTGTTATTTTATTGGGGTTAACAACTTAGTAATACCTCATCTAGAATATGCAGTTCAGTTTGGGAACCAATTCACAAAAAGAACGTTGGGGAACTGGAGAAAGTACAGAGAAGGGCAACCAAACTGATAAGAGGCATGGAGGAGCTCAGCTATGAGGAAAGATTAGAGGAACTGAATTCATTCTCCACTGAGAAGAGGAGATTAAGGGGGGATATGATCACCATGTATAATACATAAGAGGGGGGGGTTTGATCTCCATGTATAATACATAAGGGGGGGGGGTTTTGATCTCCATGTATAATACATAAGGGGGGATATGATCTCCATGTATAAATACATAAGGGGGGATATGATCTCCATGTATAATACATAAGGGGGATATGATCTCCATGTATAATACATAAGGGGGGGTGTGATCTCCATGTATAATACATAAGGGGGGGATATGATCTCCATGTATAATACATAAGGGGGGATATGATCTCCATGTATAATACATAAGGGGGATATGATCTCCATGTATAATACATAAGGGGGGATATGATCTCCATGTATAATACATAAGGGGGGATATGATCTCCATGTATAATACATAAGGGGGGATATGATCTCCATGTATAATACATAAGGGGGGGATATGATCTCCATGTATAATACATAAGGGGGGGATATGATCTCCATGTATAATACATAAGGGGGGGATATGATCTCCATGTATAATACATAAGAGGGGATATGATCACCATGTATAATACATAAGGGGGGATATGATCTCCATGTATAATACATAAGGGGGATATGATCTCCATGTATAATACATAAGGGGGGATATGATCTCCATGTATAATACATAAGGGGGGATATGATCTCCATGTATAATACATAAGGGGGGGATATGATCTCCATGTATAATACATAAGGGGGGGATATGATCTCCATGTATAATACATAAGGGGGGATATGATCTCCATGTATAATACATAAGGGGGGGATATGATCTCCATGTATAATACATAAGGGGGGGATATGATCTCCATGTATAATACATAAGGGGGGGATATGATCTCCATGTATAATACATAAGGGGGGGAAATGATCTCCATGTATAATACATAAGGGGGGGATATGATCTCCATGTATAATACATAAGGGGGGATATGATCTCCATGTGTGATACATAAGGGGGGATATGATCTCCATGTATAATACATAAGGGGGGGATATGATCTCCATGTATAATACATAAGGGGGGATATGATCTCCATGTATAATACATAAGGGGGGGATATGATCTCCATGTATAATACATAAGGGGGGATATGATCTCCATGTATAATACATAAGGGGGGGATATGATCTCCATGTATAATACATAAGGGGGGGATATGATCTCCATGTATAATACATAAGGGGGGGATATGATCTCCATGTATAACACATAAGGGAGGGATATGATCACCATGTATAATACATAAGGGGGGATATGATCTCCATGTATAATACATAAGAAGGGATATGATCTCCATGTATAATACATAAGGGGGGATATTATCTCCATGTATAATACATAAGGGGGGGGATATGATCTCCATGTATAATACATAAGGGGGATATGATCTCCATGTATAATACATAAGGGGGATATGATCTCCATGTATAATACATAAGGGGGGGATATGATCTCCATGTATAATACATAAGGGGGATATGATCTCCATGTATAATACATAAGGGGGGATATGATCTCCATGTATAATACATAAGGGGGGATATGATCTCCGTGTATAATACATTAATAAAATCAGTGGTTCATATAGTGAACTCGGTGTAGAGCTATTCACCCTGAGGTCATCACAGAGGACAAGGGGGCACTCTTTACATCTGGAGGAAAAGAAATGTAATCTCCAAACACGGAAAGGTTTCTTCACAGTGAGAGCTGTGAGAATGTGGAATAGACTCCCTGAAGAGTTGGTTGTGGCCAGCTCAGTGGATTGCTGTAGGAAAGTCCTGGATTCTTTCTTGGATACACAGAATATAACTGGATAGTAACATTTATAGGTAAAGTTGATCCAGGGAATATCCGATTGCCTCTCAGGGGATTAGGAAGGAATTTTTTCCCCTGCAGGAGCAAATTGGATCGTGCTTTGCTAGGGTTTTTTTTTTGCCTTCCTCTGGATCAACTGTGTGTGTGTAGGATTATAACTTTGAATTTTTTTTATGTTTTTGATGGTTGAACTGGATGGACTTTTGTCTTTTTTTCAGCCAGACTAACTATGTAACTATGGATGGGGCCTAGGTGTATATGAGATGTCCAATGGAATTGAACAATTCTGGAGGACAACTTCTTAAGCACAAAAAATGGGCAAGAATCCAGCAAGCAGCATAAAAATGGATCCTAGCTCTCCATTACTTCAGGAGTAGCACTTCCCTTCAGACAGATTAGCACACAGTCTTTGCACTTTGTCCCCTTGAATGAACCTCCTCAGACCCCAGATGAAAATCTTCTCATCCACCTGGCTGTCTTCAGAGTGTCCCAGGGCAAGAGATTCCGAGACACACAAAGAATGTAGTCCCAGGGAGAACTAATTGGGTATTGCACCTGACCTCCCTCTCCCTTTTTTAGCCTAGGGGGTATAGAAGTACTCCTGTTGCTTTAAAGGTTGAAGATGCTTTCAGGCCTTACGCTGGGCTGGCTCCTTCCCTGCTGACAGACTCTCTCTCCCCAGTAGACTGTGGAGGTCCTTCTGTCCAGCTTCCAGCCTGTAGAGAGATCCTCCCTCCTTTTGGGACCCCCTCCCAAGCTTCACACCAGCAGTACTTCTTCACTCCATCTTCCACCTGACTCCCCTGCTCACTAGGCTCTCATATTTAAGGACTGACCTAGCCACCATGCCAGGCCTCCTGTCTGGGGATTGGCCAGATTCCCCTAAGTATGCAGATCAGCCCTTCCCCACCACCACCCACTGCTTCTTGAAACTTCTCTAAGTTTCTATAGCAGGGGTCTCCAAACTTTCTAAACAAAAGGGCCAGTTCACGATCCTTCAGACTTTAGGGGGGGGGGGGGGGTCGTACTGTGGCCAGTAGGAGTAAAAAGTGCCCCGGCGGCATTGGGAGTAAACAATGCCACAGGCTTGGGTTAGGGTCAGTAAGAGGAATAGTGCCCATTGTTGGTGTAAGTGGAAGGAATAGTACCCTATCACTGAGGTCAGTGGAATGCATAGAGCCCCATGATTGGTATCAGTGAGAATAATAGTGCCCCATCATTGGGCTCAGTGAGGAGAATAGTGCTCCATAGCATTAGGAGAGAAAATGCCCCAAGGGTCAGATAAAGGAAAGCAAATGGCCACATCTGACCCTCTGGCCACAATTTGGAGACCACTGTTCTGGAGCAAGGGGAAGTATCAGAGAACTGACCTCTAGGGCGCTTCAGCTTTATATTCAAGTAACCTCGCTGACTCATACCCAGGCTAGAAGCAAACCTCTAACTAAACACAAAAAAAAACCTATGTACACTAGAGGGTGTTACACTCGCGGTTATAACAGTCTCCACTCTACGGGAAATACTTTTCACAAGGTTTCAAGGTGTTGGTGGACATTTATGCCTATTCAGCCAAAACAAAAATGAATGGTCACATATCAGCATTCAAATTCATCTCAGAGTAGGTTTGAGTTAAGATCTATGTGCAGGCCTTTTTGGTTTCTTCACACCAGTCTGGTCAAACCATGTCTTTATGGAGCTGACTTCGTACACATGGGCACTGTCATGATGGGCCTTCACAAACCTGTTACCACAAGAATGAAAGTGCACAAACGTCTAAAATGTGTTTGTATGCTAACAGCATTGCTCACTGGAAACACCTGAACTCACTTGGAGGCTGTCTGCATACCTTTGGCCATATAGTGTAGGTGTGATGGTCAGGTATTCATGTAGTGTAAGTGAGAAGGTTATGATTCCATGAACATTTGGCCATATAGTGTAGGTGTGATGTTAAAGGATCCACAGACTTTTTGCAATATAATGTCTGTGTGATGGTCAGGGTCCACAGCCTTTTTTCCATACAGTGAAGATGTGATGGTCGGGGTCCACAGCCTTTTAGTCATATAATGTAGGTGTGATGGTCAGGGGTCCACAGCCATAGCCATATAGTACTTGTGTGAGGGCCAGGGGTCCACAAACGTTTCCTTTTATAGTACAGGCGTGATGGCAAGAGGTCCACAACCTTTTGACCATACATTGTACATGCGAAAGGAAGGGCCTTCACCAAACTGTTAACACAAGAATGAAAGTCTAAAATGTCTTTGTATGCTAACAGCATTGCTCACTGGAAACACCTAAACTCACTTGGAGGCTGTCTGCATACTTTTGGCCATATATTGTAGGTGTGATATTCAGATATTCATGTAGTATAAGTGTGAAGGTCATGGGTCCATGAACATTTGGCCATATAGTGTAGGTGTGATGCTAAGGGATCCCCACACATTTGGCCATATAGTGTGGGTGTGATGGTCAGGAGTCCACAGAAGTTTGGCCATGCAGTGCAAGTGTGATGATCAGGGGTCCACAGACTTTTGGCCATATAGTGTAGATGTGATGATCAGAGATCTACAGCCTTTTGGCCATATAGTGTAGGCATGATGGTCAGGGGTCCACAGACTTTTGGCCATACAGTGCAAGTGTGATGGTCAAGGGTCCAGAAACCTTTGGCAATATTAGTGTAGGTGTGATGGTCAGAGATCTACAGCCTTTTGAGCATACAGTGTAGGTGTGGTGATCAGGAGCAGGGGTGGACTGACAACTCCTGGGGCCCCCATGCAATAGGGGATCATGGGGCCCGTGTCCTTGCCCAAACTCAAAAAAGTCTATGAAAAAGTTACCAGGGGCATCTCATTGGGCCCCCTACTGACCCCGGGCAGTGCCCGAGTGTACAAATGGTCAGTTCGCCCTGATCAGAAGTCCACAGACTTTTAAGCCATATAATGTAGATGTGATGGTCAGGGGTCCACAGACTTTTGGCCATATAATGTAGATGTGATGGTCAGGGGTCCACAGACTTTTGGCCATATAATGTAGATGTGATGGTCAGGGGTCCACAGACTTTTAAGCCATATAATGTAGATGTGATGGTCAGGGGTCCACAGACTTTTGGCCATATAATGTAGATGTGATGGTCAGGGGTCCACAGACTTTTAAGCCATATAATGTAGATGTGATGGTCAGGGGTCCACAGACTTTTGGCCATATAATGTAGATGTGATGGTCAGGGGTCCACAGACTTTTGGCCATATAATGTAGATGTGATGGTCAGGGGTCCACAGACTTTTGGCCATATAATGTAGATGTGATGGTCAGGGGTCCACAGACTTTTGGCCATATAATGTAAATGTGATGGTCAGGGGTCAACAGACTTTTGGCCATATAATGTAGATGTGATGGTCAGGGGTCCACAGACTTTTGGCCATATAATGTAGATGTGATGTAACTCTTCCCCACACTATCCACAAAAAAAAAAAACAAAAAACATTTTGGCTGGAGTTGGGCTTCAAAAGGAGTTCAGTTCTGACCTGTACAATACCTTTTAGAGTTGATTAGATCATTATAACGTTTCCTTTCTGTATAATTTTTATTCAGAGTTGGAGGCAGATGAATGGTGCAAGATTCTGCATACAGAGTGCCTTGGGACTCGGATCAGCGACATCAGTTTGGGAGAACCGGACCTGTTAGCTACCGGAGTGGAGAGAGAGCAGAACGGTATGTAGTAATGGCTTGTCTTTTAAATGTAGAGTTTCCGGCACTCATGAAAGTTATATGTAGCTGCGCTGCCTCTTGAAACATCTGCATGTTATCCCAAATCAACAGCATTGACAGACCTCCCCTCCTTTATGACTAGTTGTCTCCTAAGAAGATTTTTATTTGTTTTAAGAGATAATCTAGATAGCTGTAAATACTGAGTTATGGAGGTGAAGAAAAAAAAACAACCAAAGATGTGCATAAAAATACACAGATCAGAAGACTGTGCTATTGTCTCTGTTTTATTTAAAAAAAACAATTACATAGCCACTCATCCAGTGAATCTGTGTGTGCATTCATTCTGTGGGAATTGGACAAAATCAAATACTATTAGGCTATTTTCACTTCACGCTCTGGAGCAAATTCCCTTGCAGAAGGCAACAGTCTTTTTGCGGTTAGTAAATCAACCTCACTGTCACAAATGTAGAAAATGCTAGAGGGAGTTAGCAAATGTACGTGACCAAATGTACATGCAGCTTTGCTGGACAATTGGCTATGTGCTTTTTTTTTTTTTTATAAATAGACCTCCTGATCATGGGTCTGTGCACACTATGAATATTTCCAGGAATTTTGCAGGTGTTAAACCTAAACTGTGGTCAGCCATTACATACAGGTATTTCAGGGCTCTAGGTCTCAAGAAGAAATGCTTGTTTAGTCTAGTGCAGCCTTTCTCGCCCTTTTTAACATGGAGGAACCCTTGAAGTAGCTTTTGCGTTTTAGGGAACCCTTGAAAACAGTTACCATAAATAGAGCTCTGAGTAAATCGGGGTGAACAGTAAGCTGAGATCTATGAAAAAGGAATGTGACACTTAAAATATTTAGCACCAAGGGCTGCTTTGTATAACATAATCATTTTCAGTCAAAATAATTAAATAAACCAAGTAATAAGAATGGCCAGAAAAGAAATTAAGATGATAAAAATTGTAATATTTTCTTACAATGGTGTTCAGTGAAGATCTCTGCTACACCCACGGTCAGTGAAGAGCCCCTATATATCAGTGGTCAGTTAGAGAAGGACCACCTTACAAAGGTGATTATTAGAGAGGGGTCCCCTTACACCGTTGATCATTGGAGAAGGGCCCCTTTTGATTGGTGGTCAGTAGGAAAGGACCACCCTATATTGGTAATTATTGGGTGAGGGGTCCCCTTACACTGGTGGTCAGTGGAGAAGGGCCCCTTTAGATTGGTGGTCAGTAGGAAAGGACCACCCTATATTGGTAATTATTGGGTGAGGGGTTCCCTTACACTGGTGGTCAGTGGAGAAGGGCCCCTTTAGATTGGTGGTCAGTGGGAGAAGGACCACCTTACATTGGTGAATATTGGGTGAGGGGTCCCCTTACACCAGTGGTCAGTGAAAAGCCCCATTATATTGTTGGTCAGTAGGAGAAGGACCACCTTACATTGGTAAATATTAGGCGAGAGGTTCCCTTATACCGGTGATCAGTGGAGAAGAGCTCCTTTAGGTTGGTGGTCAGTGGGAGAAGGACATTACATTGGTGATTATTGGGTGAGGGGTCCCCTTACACTGGTGGTCAGTGGAGAAGGGCCCCATTAGATTGGTGGTCAGGGATAAGAGGACCACCCTACATTGCTAAATATTGAGTGAGGGGTCCCCTTACACTGGTGGTCAGTGGAAGAAGGGTCCCACTGCACTGATGGCCATTGGGAATAATGCTGCTTACATTGGTGGTCAGTGAGAAGCATTAGAGATGGCGACAAAGATCATTGGTGTCAGTGGTTCATGATTTTAGAGAAGAAATTGGTAATTTCTCAAGGAACCCTGAGCAACGTCTGCAGAAACCGTGGTTGAGAAAGACTGGAATAGGGGATAAGAGAGTCAGAAATACTTACCTTATGCCTCACTGTCCCAAATGCTGGCACTCCCCTCTTGTTCAGAGCAGGGCCTTGTGTACAGTGCAGGACCTCATGTATTGCATTGTATATGATGACGTTGGTGGCCTCACAACCAGCAAAAGGATGCTGCTTCATGGGATTGGTCATCTGACAGGGAAAAAGACTTGTGTTAGTGACAAATAAGGCACGTATTTCTGCCTATTCCCTACCATCTAGAATGGTCTTTCTCAACCTTTTTACCCCAGAGGAACCCTTAAAATAAATGTTTAGATCTCAGGGAACCCCTGCTAAAACCAGTTTATTGGGGATCAGTGGGGAAAATGCCCTTTACATTAGTGGCCAGTGGGACTAATGCCCCCCCCTCTTTACAATGGTGGTCAGAATGCCACCCTTACAGACAGCTAAATAGGTCAGTGGTGTCATCCTCAAACCTCACAGCAGAAGTGCTGCAATCTTCAGTCTTTTCCCTCTGCCAAATGGTTTTGGCCCCGAACCTATGCAGGCACTACCACAGCTCAAGGAACTCTAGCAACCTCTGGAGGAACCTGAGGACGCCACAGAACCCTCCTTGAGAACAGCTGCACTAGACTGAACCCTTACTACTGGAGGGGGAGAACCAGCATTCTTATGTTGGCGAATTACAGTTCCCAGTTGAAGGAGAACATCAGTCAAGCAGCTAGATACACATACAGTAGGTAGTCTTATCTGCAGAAAGATTTGTAGCAATTTCCACTTACAGACTGGGGGAGGGACAAGACAAGAAAATGTTAGTGAACTGGAGCAGATGAAAATCATGTCTCCTGCCCTCCCAGACAGGACTGTGCTATGTGGCAGAGCTGTGCAAATCTCAGAAGTGGATGGACAAAAATACAAATCTTTTGCCAGGCAAATCTGCTCTTTGAAATACATATTACCTCTGTGTATCTAGCTGTTTTGTTGGCGTTCCACTTTAACCAACGTGCCCAGTCTTTGTACAAACATTCACAAATAACAGAAGGACTGCTGAAGAGTTATTAAATAAAATGTCTCAGTTTCTGAATTGATGTTTGTGATGATGATGACGTGTTTGTGTGATGGCTCTCCTACGCAGATTGCAGACTAATCATCTTTTTTTCTCCCAGAGAGATTCAATGTGTATTTGATGCCGTCTCCCAATTTAGATGTCCACGGGGAATGCACGCTGCAGATCACCTGCGAGAACATCTGCCTGTGGGACGTACAAAATCCGAGGCTGAAGCTGGTGTCTTGGCCGCTAAGCTCCCTACGGAGGTACGGGCGAGACCCAGCCTGGTTCACCTTTGAAGCTGGCAGGTGGGTGTAGACAAAGCATTAGGAACAAATAGTTAAAAGGGCAAAAGGATTCACAGCTGAAAACACAAATACAAGAATGTTTCTGGAATGCTACACAAACACTTTAGGCCTCTGCAGAGAAGGGCAGCACACCATGAGCCCTCTCTATAACTAGAACAGAAAAGATTCACATTGAAAGCCTAAGCTTCTGTGTGCATATTACTATAAAAGCCGATTTAAACTCTTCCTGTGACCATTTTAAGTATTTGCATATTTATAACCAGCAGTGAATTACTTTTAAAACAAGCCCTTGTTGACCTCTGTAGCTACAGGCTTTCAGGGGAAATTCATCCTCAAACCTCACAGCAGAAGTGCTGCAATCTTCAGTCTTTTCCCTCAGCAGCTCCTCCAGCTACTACTTTCTAGCAGTGACGCAGCAGATCCCCTTGCTCCTCATAGTCCGCATTAACTAAACAACTTAGCTATACCCACCAGATATCAGGAAGCGGTTACTGACATACAGGCTGATGAATACAATCCCTGTCCTCAAAGGATCCAAAAATCTAATGTCTGCCATAAAAATGCACACAATGCAGGAGCAGTGTGGTCAGATGGCAATGCACCTACCAGTGCCCAGAGAAAGACCGCACAGGTAGAACATACAGACTGTATATAGAAAGTGTCTTTGGACGTAACTGAACCCAAGACCCCAGGGCTGCATGCTAAAGGCAGACAGATAGGAGTATGAAAGCATACTCGTCCATGTACCCTACTCCTGTTCAGTAGGTGCAGTACACCTTATAAAGGAATGGGTTACTTTTAAGAGGAGCTTCAGTCATTTCTGAAAAAAAAAAAATATCGGCTGCAAACGCTGTAGCTGCTGACTTTTAATAAACAGACACTCACCTGTCCAGGGATCCAGCACCATCCTCACCCGTGCCAGTTCTTCACTGGTCTTTGGGTCCCCAGCACCGCCAAGCAAATGATCGCACCGCACTGCGCTTGTGAATGGTCCTGCAGCCACCTGGGACTTGTGGCGTGACACGGCTGCAAACGCTGTAGCTGCTGACTTTTAATAAACAGACACTCACCTGTCCAGGGATCCAGCACCATCCTCACCCGTGCCAGTTCTTCACTGGTCTTTGGGTCCCCAGCACCGCCAAGCAAATGATCGCCCCGCACTGCGCTTTGTGAATGGTCCTGCAGCCACCTGGGACTTGTGGCGTGACACGGCTGCAAACGCTGTAGCTGCTGACTTTTAATAAACAGACACTCACCTGTCCAGGGATCCAGCACCATCCTCACCCGTGCCAGTTCTTCACTGGTCTTTGGGTCCCCAGCACCGCCAAGCAAATGATCGCACCGCACTGCGCTTTGTGAATGGTCCTGCAGCCACCTGGGACTTGTGGCGTGACACGGCTGCAAACGCTGTAGCTGCTGACTTTTAATAAACAGACACTCACCTGTCCAGGGATCCAGCACCATCCTCACCCGTGCCAGTTCTTCACTGGTCTTTGGGTCCCCAGCACCGCCAAGCAAATGATCGCCCCGCACTGCGCTTTGTGAATGGTCCTGCAGCCACCTGGGACTTGTGGCGTGACACGGCTGCAAACGCTGTAGCTGCTGACTTTTAATAAACAGACACTCACCTGTCCAGGGATCCAGCACCATCCTCACCCGTGCCAGTTCTTCACTGGTCTTTGGGTCCCCAGCACCGCCAAGCAAATGATCGCACCGCACTGCGCTTTGTGAATGGTCCTGCAGCCACCTGGGACTTATGGCGTGACATGAGCAGGGAGGGGGTAGAACTTCTGGTGGAATTGCTGCAGCGATCCGACTGAAAGTGGGAACGGGTACCTGCTTCTCTCCCCCCCCCCCAAAAAAAAAATGCATTCCAAATATGGTGGAGGAGGGGGGAGAAGGATGAGCAGATCTTCCCCTTTTGCTTTGAATTGAGGTCTGTGTCCCCGTTAGGGAGATTTACCCTCTCTGTTTGTCCTGCCTACTGGTATCGCATCGCATGTGCAGTGCGAATCCTGTGAGAATCACATGCGGTGTGCCGCCCCGCACAAGTGTGAACCCAGGCTGAGAGTGAAGGAAGATCCCAAATTTGGGTTGTCAAGAAAACACGAGAAGAGGAAACTCTTCCAATGGGATGACAGCCAAGAGTTTTCTCTCACTTTCTATTGTTTCTATGGGACTGAAAGGTAAGGGAAATCTCACTTACTCTATCCAAAAAGAAAGAAAATTGCCTTTAGCTCCACTTTAAACCTCACAGGTCATAAAAATAACAAACATTCATTTTCCAAGGTAAAACACTAAAATAGGCACGTATGTGTCATGTGTGTGCTGAGAGTAATGCAGCTCTCCCCTAATCCAGCCCTGGAATCCCAGCTTCAGGTATGCTGACACATCAGAGTAATCAGTGTTCCAGAATGACATCACTTCCTGTAGAGATGTACACAAAACACAAGTGGACAGTCAGGTAAGTACTCAGGCAATGTATAGTGTATGCAGATAGGTGTGCCTGATTGGGACTGCCAGCTGCTGGGACTAGTTGTCTCTTCAATGCAGTCTGTGTGTTTGAATGACATTTTATACAGACATTTAAATTACTTTGCACACAGGGTAGATCTCTCTCCCATGTGATTGAATACGTCTTATTGTACTGCCTTTGTTTGTCAGCAGTGCTTGCTGGAACTCCAAACAATAACTGTTGACTTTGACATGTATCATAGTCTTTCCCCTGGTTCACATATCTGCGGCCGTGCGGGCCGCGTTTTGCGCGGGGCACGAGAGCCCAATCAGTTGAATGGACTCCCGTGCCCCGGGACATGCAGGGAAGAAGTCCTTGCACTTCTTCTGAAAATGCAGCCTGCACGGGAACCGAGGATCCCAGTACATTTGTGATTTCCAGTGCGGGTGGTGTGCCATTAGAATTAATGGGGAGAGTGGATATAGTGAATGCGGGGTCCGGGGAGAGCGGATATAGTGAATGCAGGGGTCCGGGGAGAGCGGATATAGTGAATGCGGGGTCCGGGGAGAGCGGATATAGTGAATGCGGGGTCCGGGGAGAGCGGATATAGTGAATGCGGGGTCCGGGGAGAGCGGATATAGTGAATGCGGGGTCCGGGGAGAGCGGATATAGTGAATGCGGGGTCCGGGGAGAGCGGATATAGTGAATGCAGGGTCCGGGGAGAGCGGATATAGTGAATGCGGGGTCCGGGGAGAGCGGATATAGTGAATGCGGGGTCCGGGGAGAGCGGATATAGTGAATGCGGGGTCCGGGGAGAGCGGATATAGTGAATGCGGGGTCTGGGGTGACCGGATATAATGAATGCGGGGTCCCGGCAGACCGGATATAGTGAATGCGGGGTCCGGGGGAGAGCGGATATAGTGAATGCGGGGTCCGGGAGAGAGCGGATATAGGGAATGCAGTGTCCGGGGAGAGCGGATATAGGGAATGCAGGGTCTGGGGAGACCGGAAATAGTGAATGCGGGGTCCGGGGACAGCGGATATAGGGAATGCAGGGTCCAGGGAGACCGGATATAGTGAATGCGGGGTCCGGGGAGACCGGATATAGTGAATGCGGGGTCCGGGGAGAGCGGATATAGGGAATGCAGTGTCCGGGGAGAGCGGATATAGTGAATGCGGGTCCGGGGAGAGCGGATATAGGGAATGCGGGTCCGGGGAGAGCGGATATAGGGAATGCGGGTCCGGGGAGAGCGGATATAGTGAATGCAGGGTCCGGGGAGAGCGGATATAGTGAATGCGGGGTCCGGGTGAGAGCAGATATAGGGAATGCAGGGTCCGGGGAGAGCAGATATAGGGAATGCGGGGTCCGGGGAGACCAGATATAGTGAATGCAGGGTCCGGGGGGAGAGCGGATATAGTGAATGCGGGGTCCGGGGAGAGCGGATATAGTGAATGCGGGGTCCGGGGAGAGCGGATATAGGGAATGCGGGGTCCAAGGGGAGAGCGGATATAGGGAATGCAGGGTCCAAGGGGAGAGCGGATATAGGGAATGCGGGGTCCAAGGGGAGAGCGGATATAGGGAATGCAGGGTCCAAGGGGAGAGCGGATATAGGGAATGCAGGCTCCAAGGGGAGAGCGGATATAGGGAATGCGGGGTCCAAGGGAGAGCGGATATAGGGAATGCAGGCTCCTGGGTTTAGTAACACTTTAAGTTTTTTTTTTTTTTTGCCTTTATTTTTATCTAGTAATCCTGCAAATCACACACTTCCTGTCCCAGGGTGGCTGTGGTCACTCACTGTACTGTATCTGTAAAGCAGCCATGGTTGCCACTGGATGTCAGATATGTGGGGATTAGTAATTTATTGAAGGAAACTAAGGTTATTATATGCTATCCCACAGGATGTGACAAGGACATTAGATTTCTGTCATCTTCAACAGACATATTCTGCACCTGCTGAAAACTTTCTTACCGGTAAAAAATAAAAAAGAATGCAGCCACCACATCTATGGACTGGTGAGCTGTGATACATTACATTTTTGCTTTCGGGTTTGGTGATGCTGTAAATCCAGTATGTGGAATGTCACTTTGTGACTCCGGCCAATCGTTCTCCGTAGCGTTTCCATACGGACATCTGAGGCTGATAATATTCTTATCAGTCTGCTGTTTGCACAGGTTGGGATGGAAGCGCTGTGATTGCAGCGAACAGGCTTGGATGTAGACGCGGAAAGACTAATGCATTTGGCTGGAGGTTCAGTCTAGTCTCATCGTGTGTTTTTGTGTTTGTCTGTTGGCAGGATGTGTGACACTGGGGAGGGCCTCTTTATCTTCCAAACCAGAGAAGGTGAAGCCATCTATCATAAAGTTCACTCGGCGGCGCTGGCGATAGCGGAACAACATGAGCGGCTACTGCAGAGCGTCAAGAATTCAATGGTACGTGCCATGTTTATATTTCTACAAATGTGTACCTTTCCAGGAAAATGCCAGTGACCTGGCTGTCATGTTAAACCAGTGTACTAGGAACATGACCTAACTTGCTGCTTGCTTGTTCAAAGTCAGTGGCAACCTCCCCATTTCTCTCTGTCCAGGTATGCACAGGGCGTAGATCAGCGCAGCCTATTGTATTAGGGTGTGCACACCAAAACTCAAACCCATGTGCATATGTGTGTATGTACAGTATGTGTTTGTGGGGGTCATTGGGAGGAATAGTGCACCAATGTTGTTGGCAGTGGGAGGAATAGGGCTCCATTGTTTGGTGTCAGTAGAAGGTATCGTGTTCTGTTGTTGGTGTAAGTTGGGGGAATAGTGCCCCATCAGTTTCAGTGGAAGGAAAATTGCTCCATCATTGGTACCAGTGGAAGGAGTGCCCTGTTGTTGGTGTCAGTGAGAGGGATAATGCTCAATTGTTAGTGACAGCGGAAGAAATAGTGCTCAATGGTTGGTGTCAGTGGACGGAATAGTGCACCAATATTAATGTCAGTAGGAGGAAAAGTTCTCCATTGTTGGTGTCAGTGGGAGGAATAGTGCTCCAAGAGCCAGAGAAGGGTAAGGAAAGGACCACATCCCACCCCTGGGCCACGGTTTGTGCTAGAACTCTTACAGAGGCAGACTAGGAAGAATTTTCCCCACTAGGGGAAGGAATAGTGCCCCATCATTGTTGTCGGTAGGAGGAATAGTCCCCCATCAATGGTGTCAGTGTGAGGAATAGTGCCCCATCATTGATGTCAGAGGGAGAAATAGTGCCTGTTGTTGGTGTCATTGGGAGAAATAGTGCTTCATTGTTGGTGTGAGTGGGAGGAATAGTGTCCTGTTGTCGGTGTCAGTGGGAGGAATAGTGCCCCATCATTGGTATCAGTGGGGGGAATAGTGGCCCTTCATTGGTATCAGTGGAAAGAATAGTGCCCCATCATTGGTGTCAGTGAGAGGAATCATGCCCCATCATTGGTATCAGTGGGAGGAATAGTGCCCCATCATTGGTGTCAGTGGGAGGAATAGTGCCCCATCATTGGTGTCAGTGGGAGGAATAGTGCCCCATCATTGGTGTCAGTGGGAGGAATAGTGCCCCATCATTGGTATCAGTGGGAGGAATAGTGCCCCATCATTGGTATCAGTGGGAGGAATAGTGCCCCATCATTGGTGTCAGTGGGAGGAATAGTGCCCCATCATTGGTGTCAGTGGGAGGAATAGTGCCCCATCATTGGTGTCAGTTGGAGAAACAGTGCCCCGTCATTGGTGTCAGTGGGAGGAATAGTGCCCTTTGTTGGTGTCTGTGGGAGCAATAGTGCCCCATCATTGGTGTCAGTGGGAGGAATAGTGCCCTGTTGTTGGTGTCAGTGGGAGAAACAGTGCCCCAAGGGCCAGACAAAGGTAAGGAAAGGACCACATCTTGCCCCTGTGTCACAATTTGGAGAGGCAGAGGCTAGAACACTGACAGAGGCAGATGAGGAAGTATTTTTAACTCTTGATAATGGAATACCTCTACTTTGACTAATATGTGCACCTTGGTTTGTGCTTCAGCTCTATTATCAGGTTGTATTGTGCAATGTTCTAAGTCATTATAAAGAAGTTAAAACAATGAATACCCAACAGGGGTTCTAATCTAACCCTACTCAGAAAAAGAAAAGCGTTGTGTGGTCCTACACAAGAGGTTTATGTGAGAGGTTTTTGCCCAATATGAAGAAACCCGCCGACCCCCAATTGGCGATCAGTCTTGGCCTCGGACGGCGCCTGTAATTTTGGTGGAAGTGGAACACACATTTGTACACATTTGTACCCCGGGACATTTGGAAAAGCTTTTATGTGTAATGTTATACAGTGAAAGCCGAGAAAAATGATTTCATGTTCCGGAGATGAGAGTGTTTGCTCAGGCGGTGCACTTAATACACTCCTTAATGAGCTAAATAGAGCCGCGCTCTGTTATATAACGCAGACAAATAGTTTTTTGGTTGTTTTTTTTTTTTTTCCCTCTAGTCTGGACAGCCAGTATTTCCACCATCTGACAGCGCTGTCTTCTAACGATGTGCTCTGCTAATTAAGATTTTATTTTTCATTACGGGTGCCTTAATTACCATCCATCAGTGCATTCATCATGCAGGTGTACCTGGAAGAGTATTTCCTCCGGCTCCAACCGCATCGTCTTCTCCATCCAACCATATTCCTGCAAGCCGGCTGAGGATTCTGAATGAACATCTATCATGACATAAATACGTGGAGCACATCAAACGCCCACCGATATCTCAATGGGCCTGACAAGCTGTGCACCATTAAAATAGAACGGGTGGCGTCATTTTACTGAAACGCCAAGTAAGCGATGAATTGCAATGCATGTTCCTGTGGAATGCAACGTGTGTCAGAAATAGGGAAATCCCCGTTCGCAATAAGTAGCGTGAATGTCACGGTTTGTGTGCCATATATGTGTAAAGACTGCAAATTGCATATATGTGCGTAGAATAAGCGCATTGGTGCGCCCAGCAGTGAGCAAAGCAGGACTTGTAGTTATAGGAGGTGTGACAATTTAATTCCAGGAATGCCCACGGTGTAGCACTATGGTGGTGAGTCACACAGATATTCACGCTAGAGCGTGTTCTGACAGGTTCTAAATTGCACTCGCCTGGGTCGCAGACCAGTGGACTCAGTCTTTACAGAGTAGTAGAAGAAACAACACGTGTGTGCATTGAGCTGCTGGCAGAAAATGAGTGACAGGACTATTGAGCAGCGGATTAATATCATATTTGGTGTGAAAATTGGCAAAACTTTAGCTCTGTTACAACAGGCTTATGGTGAACATTCCTTGAAGAAATTGAGAGTTTTTGACCGCCATGGGTGATTTAAGAAGGGGCAAGAAGATATCCACGATGACGCAAGAAGTGGGTAGCCAAAACCGCAGAGGACGGATGCAAATGTGGACAGAGTGCGAACCCTCGTACCATCATGCTTGTGTGTTTTTTTGATCAGAAAGGGATAGATTACTGTGAGTTCGTAGAACATAGTACAGCAGTCAACCAACATTATTACTTGGAGATTCCAAAAAAGTTAAAGAAATCTACAAGGCGCAAAAAACTGGAACTCTGGCCTGACAAGTGGATCATCTGTAGGAAGTCGGGTGACGAAACGCGTAAGAAGGGGAAATAACGTCATCACGTACGCCGGGTTTGTGTGCTCACGCCCAGGATCTTCGGTCAGAGTGATCTCGGACTATTTATATGCCTTTTTGCTTGTGTCAGTGGAGACACATTAAACTGTGAGTGTGCAGGTTTTAAAATAAAAGTCATGTTTTAAGGACCTTATGCTGTGTGAACTCCTTCTCTCCTCCGTCCGCATTATTGGTGATCGTGATACTGCATAATCCTGGTGATTGTGAGAGTATACTGAGGATCTTGCTGGGTCTGCAGATTATCGCTCCAGGAGGGGAATGTAGGCCAGAAGGGCTGATAATATGTGGGGGAACCCAGCAGGAAGAAATATTTCCCTCTGCTTTTATTTCACAATCAGCGAACTGGTAAAGAGGTGGCTGTGCAGATATTATAAAGCTCGCTCATCTCTATTCATGATAGCTGTGCCAGGACCACACCATTAGCACAGAAGCTACCATTCCCGATTTAGAGATGGAAATGAGATATTCAAAGAGAATTTTCCCGCAGTGTAATTTCTGCCTATTTTCCCTTTAATGGGGAATAATAATGATATATTTATAATAAAGTTGAACTGAAGCATATCGCACATAATGCCCCGCTCGGAAGCGCTCTGCGGTGAAGTCTCAATTCCGACACAGGAATTAATTACACATTCCCTTTTGAAAAGTGAAATTAATTGAAAACTAGAATTTTCTAATTAGAGGGAGCCGTCCTTGGCTAAATGAGTCAGGTTATCTACAAAGCTAATTTATAAGTTGTGAGCATAATGTGTAGGACTTGTAATATGTGGCTCGGCTAACCTTCAGAAGTCTCAGAACGATGGTGAGATCTTCCCGGTGGCTAGCTTTATCACGCAGCGCTGGGCAAGGGATGTTATAATTGATATCCCTGCTCTGTTGGGGTGCAGAAATAGCAGTTGACTAGTTAATGTCTTTATCCCTTTTATATAAGTGAACTTGACAACTTGACTTCCGAATAATACTTTTTGTCACCCTTGAAGTCTCATTTTTTTTGCAAGTTGACCAAGAAAACCATGTGAGTGCTTAAAGTGGACCTCCTGAGAAACGATGTCTTGTTTATGATGGAGCCTTTGCCAGATTTCAAGGCCTAACTGGAGTAACCACTGCCACCAGAGCCCAAGAGCGAGGGACAAATCTAACATTTGAAAGTGGTTACTAGAACACTCGTCTCACAAAGGTGGGACATGCCTTCCTAGAGACAATGAAATCCTGGGAGAGATTCTTACCTGCACTCCGTACAAAATTCGAATGCAAGCTTTTGGCTTACTTTTCAGCTTTACGTAGTAAAATGCCAATGCAGTGATAACACATAAAGTTGGATTTCTTTTAATTATGAAAAACCTTTATGGATAAGGTGGTAACTTCACAAGAGAAGCATTCCAGGTGGAATATATTCACTAGGTATGAAAGTGATTCTAAAGACGCTATTTCTATACTTACCTGCTCTGTGTAATGGTTTTGCACAGGGCAGCCCCCGTCCTCCTCTTCTCGGACCCCCCCGCCGGCGCTTCTGGCCCCTACCCCCCTCCAAGTGCCCCCATAGCAAACCACTTGCTCTAGGGCAGTGTTTCTCAACTCCAGTCCTCATGGACCCCCAACAGGTCATGTTTTCAGGATTTCCATTATTTTGCAGAGGTGATTTGATCAGTTTCACTGCCTTAGTAATTACCACAGCTGTTTCATCTGAGGGAAATCCTGAAAACATGACCTGTTGGGGGTCCATGAGGACTGGAGTTGAGAAACACTGCTCTAGGGGCACTCATGCGAGCTTGATCCCGAA